GGGAATTCTGGGAGTTGGAGTCCCCACGTCTGAACGCAGCCAAGGTTGAGAAACACTGATCCAGAGGGTCCGAGTCCTTCCGGGTGCCTGGGACTCTTGACACCTCGCCCACCAGCCAGACAAGGAAAGTCCCTGAGGTGGAGCTGCCTTAATTAATCCGGTACAGCAAAGACGGAGCCCCGCATGCATCGATGGTAAAGAGGCCCTTGATCGCCCCCAAAACTTGGGCTATCATTCTTTCAATGCAGCATGATTTAGTTCTTCAAGGTAGTGATCGCCCTTCCCTGCGCCATCAAGGTAGCTCTCTGTTAGCTCCTGTCCGAGCAGCTCTCTTGCTGCCAGCCTTGTGCCCAGTCTTGGTCTTGTTTAGCTGGCTGACAAGTAGAGCAGATGGCCTCCACTGCCAAATACACTCTCAAGTGTTTTGCAAGCCTGAATAGATGCTGATTGCAGGTGTATTTCCTTAAAAAAAAGAGGAAAAAAAAGTTTAACCTGACTCCGGTTGATCTAGTCCCATCTTCTCTTGTCAACAGCAGTCAGATGCCTCTGGAAGTTCATGGGTGGGGTTCAAAGGGAGAGTCTTTTCCTGGTGTAACATCTCTGAACATGGAAGTGCTATCTCCCTGACTTAACAGTACTCATTTTTAGAAGTGTCATTAATTGTATTTTAAGTCACCCAAACTAGAGATATGCATCCTCTAAAACTACTTTATGTTTCACTATCTCTGACAGGCATAGACTCAACTGTCATTTCAGGAGTTGGATTGTCTTACATTTGGGTCATCAGAATAGGGCTTGGATGCTGGGTAGATAAATAAATTCTGGGCTTTATTAACAGAAGATATGACAAAAGAGAGTAAGCTAAAAACCATGTAATCAGTTTCCTCATGCCCTTTTGCTAGGTACATTTGGACAACTTGTCTGCTGCCCTGATTTCTAGTTTCAGTATAATGCTGTCCTATTTTACAGACCAGCTTTTAGAACTAGCAAAAGATCCAAGGTATTTTTCATGTATTCATGTCTTTTGTGTATAATAGTCTCTTCCAATGTACCATGAGCACCTACTTTGGATAATTATATATTGCCAGTGTAATACCTATGTGCTAGAATTCTATGTCTGATTCTAGCACCTTTTTGGAAGCATTGTTATAAAATGTATATAAGGTTGTCCTGGCCTTGGAAGTTCAAGGTTAGTTTACTGAGGGTGAAAAGTAGTGAATTTCAAAAGAACTAGTAATGTATAGGTGATGGGTTGATTTACTGTTTTCTGAACTATAAAAATAAAGGCCCCCTCAAGCCTTGGCAACAATATAGTATGCCATTTGATGTTGCTCTCTTTGTTTGTCTTGATTTCAATATTTTTACATTGATTTATAAACTGCCTTGTGAATCACCTCATACAATGACTGGATAAAAATATCTTACATATGATTTAGGTTGTTTACCTACTGGGCAGGATTTATTGTTGGAATTATTAAAATCATGAAACTTGTGACTATCAAATATTACAGTATTTACTATAAAAAATACTATATATTACTATAAAGGAGTAAGGAGGGCAGACCTGCAAAGGAGAGATCAGATTGAATGCCTCCTTTAACAGATTCTCAACACAATAGATCTATGATGACCCTCTCTTTGTAGAAATAAGACTTTGGAGAAAAGATCTAGCTTTCTTTTCAAGTAAATGTAGCATTTATAACATTTTGCCTTTAGGGAACATTAAGATATTGGAACAATTGGTAATTGAAATATTTGCATCAGTTTTTCAGAACTTTTGGCAATGAAGTCTTTTTTTATTTTGTTATATCTGCTGTCCTTTCTCCCTACTAGATAAGCCTGGAAGTATTGTGTGCTCCCTCCACTGTTTCCAAATTATTTTAAACTAAGGTTCTTAAATTGTTTGTCTCCCCTGATGGGAATGTGAAGGAATGTTATACAAGAAGGCTTCACAAGGTGTCTGTTTCCTTTTTAGCCTGCATATCAGAATCTAAGGCAGCGGGTGGACAACTTTGTTTCCAACCATCTAGCAACTCATACATGGAGTCCTCACTTGAACAAGAACCAACTAAGAAATAATATCAGGCAACAGGTTCTTAAGTAAGTTTCACAAATTGTCCTTAACTATGGCTCTGTGATCAACTGGTTTGACTGGAAAGATGCAGGATAGAAATTTGATTGATACATACAGTGGGGCAAAAAAGTATTTAGTCAGCCACCACTTGTGCAAGTTCTCCCACTTAA